TTGTAGTTTCCAGAAAAGAATTTTCCCTTTATCTACCTCTCCTTTGGGATAGAAGCAGAAGCAAAGAAACAATAATGATAATGGTAGAGAAAAGTATATTAGATATCACCATAGAGTCACCTACCCTATTTACGCAGTACGAAGTCGTAGAGTGGGATAAACACATATGTATACAAATATGCTGGAAGAAAAATAAACGCTGAATTAGAGTAACCACAAGATTACACCTTACGCACATATTGATGCCAAATAAAAGAAAGTGAGTAAGATGTGTACGCGTAATGCGTTTAAGCTAAACTATACACTCAGGCCCTTATATTCTTTTTTGTTCTTTTTATTCTTTATGCATTGCTACAAGTGCTTAACTTTGCGGATCACAAAATCTAATTTTTGCTTACTTCTCCTTGCCGCTGCTTAGTTGATAAACTTGAACATCATTCTGCACTCGCTTCAAACATACACATATATGTGCTATATGTGTATGAATATGCAATCAAGGAGTGTTTTACATTGTAATATCAAGATATCTAACATAGAGAAAAACGAATGGAAAGTACCACCAGAGTGATAATAAACACGGATAAGTACAGAAAATACGGAAAAAAAGCAAGTAAAGGGAAAAAATCTACTTTGAAAAAGGGATCTATCATTTATCTAAAACGGATTTCTATTTATCTACTCGAATAATGTGAGATAAACACTTCTTTTCCCATTAAGAACACAAAATCAGCTTCTTATAGAAAAAATAACTCATTGAGCGCCTGCAGCCGTAATAGGCACCGACTCAATATTATCGGTCGAAAACCATAAACTCCTGTTTCTTGTGTTTGGGTCCTCCACCTCTTGACTTCAGAAGAAACCATTCTCGTTCGTTCTAACACTACTGCTCCCGGAGGCCCCTACATTGCTGTGACACGTATGGTGTTGCAGTAGCGTGACCCAATGATATACTAATCATAACGGGAGGCATTACTGGTACTATGTTGCGCAAAAATTATCGCAGCCAAACAGTTGAGACCAGATGACACACGTGCCACACGCAGACCTCCGAAAGACAACACACCCTAACCAGCCCAAGGGAGTTAACAGAAAGCATGTATGGCGCTGGAGGCATTCGTAACCGCCACGAGACCTGCGCCATCCCAACCCTATACGTCCTCGGTCTTCCCTCTAAGCATGATTGTCATTGTCCTGGATGCCCTTCAGTTCAATCGAAGGCCTGACAGCGTTATCAAGTATGATACGCTGATTCGCGATGAAGCCCGTTACCTGTAATTCCAGGAGCACGACCCAATGACGGTATAGTTGTATTGTAACGTGTAAAGGAGGCGGCTGATGATAATGATGTTAGAGAGCGGGTGCGCATCAAAAGGTCACCTCTGTTAACACGTACTCCCTTATGGATCTCCTCACTAGCCTGTAAAGGGAATTTATGTCTACGAACGGGTAAAGCCTGCGTTTCATTTTCACTGCTACAGGTGGTTGCACCTTTCCTGGGTGCTCGGATCTTCTTTTCAGTGACCAGACGTTGCTTATTTTTCGGTGCAAGTCCCACACCCGTGGATACCAACCCTTTTGAACGACTTGCCTGACGCGATGACGATTGCAAGGAAGTGGAATTGCCCAAATGACTTGATCGCCGCGACGAAATCATCGCCTTGGCGGCATCGGCCTTCCTGTTATGGCACATCTGCACCTTACCAAGCTGATCCAAGGCCGATCCGTGCGTATCCTTTGGCATCTGCATGCACGGGCCGTTTTCAGCCACTTTTGATACAACTTTTTCAACCCTTTGGGAGGGTTTGGCCCCCTCTCCGCCACCCTCAACAAGACACAAAGCGACCGCGCTGACGTCCTGCTTTGCTGTCTCAAGTAACCCCGGCATGGCGACTGTCATATCACATCTGTGAAGACCACCTTGCCGCACCTGACGCGCGATCTGAATGATTCGATCAGCGTTACGTATAAGCTCCATACCGCACACATACTCAATCCTGGAGGAAAGATCCCAAGTGTCGTACCAGATAAGCATGCTGTAAAAAGTATCAATGGCGCGATCGCGGTAATGTTTGACAAACCCAGAGCTCACGTCCTCTGCCGTGAGGGACCACCTCGCGCCAGAACGCTGAGGTCGGCCCACTAAATCCGAAACAATCTCACGTAGCTCGAGGGTAAAGCGAGAAAGCTGCACCTCCTGGCACTGTGACACAGAATCCAGTATGAAGCTCATTCTTTCCAAGCTTTGCTTATTAATAGCAAAAATCTCATTCTTTAGTCGATTGAATAAAATGCGCAGAGAAACGCAAATCAACGCAGTCAGTTCATTAGAGTTGAAGTCGTTCAGAAAGACTGAGCCGGCAGTAGCTGGGGTGTTGACTTGCTTCGATATGCCTTCTGAGATAAGCTCTTCGATGCGGTGATGCAGTTCAATAAAGTGCGAGTCACCATCGATGCTCATCAACCCGCCATCCTCCACATACCGCAGAACAGCCCGTATCTCCCCCTCCTTGGACGAAGCCAGCTGCTCCAGGTGTGTAGCCTTCCTACGCAGCTCTTCAATGGTGCGATCCTGCTCAATCACAAGCTGTTCGAGGCGTTGGCCTGCAACGGGCGACTGCTCTGGGTCTACGATAGCACCCATCTTTGCTCCCTGCAAGCTGTCGATGGAATTCTTAAACTTCTTCAGACTCTCTTTGCACTGCCGATTTTCTTCCTGAAGTTTCCGGTTTTCAGCCTCTAGATTGAGAATAGTAGTCTGGAGCCCAGATATGTGATTCCTAGGAGATGCTTCCCACACAACTTTAGAATACTTCTCGAGAATGTTTTCAGACAACCTTGGAGTGATGGTCAATCCCTTACCCTGAGGAGGATCAACCGAGGGTGCAACAATCGGGATCGTCGACGACGGCACGCCATCGTCGCATGTCACCGCAGCTTCGGCAAACATAGCGTTCTGGTAGACGGTAGGTCTCGCCGAGCTAACCATCAGCTCTTCACCTTCATCTGAAGACGGTGACACACGTGTTATGCTGCGCTCGATCTGTGAAACCTCTGGAAATGATGTATCTTTGAGGTCATCTGAGATCATCATGTTAGTGGCCCGCTGATCACCACTCCAGCTGGCGTTATCACCGCTAATACCCGAACGACGTTGTTCGGGAATCCAAATACCTTGGAGTGCATCTAAGCCCCGCTCCACGATCGGATTGAATAGGGTGTTATGGTGGGCCGCATGGGAAGATAGGGACTTATTCTCTTTTACGGCAGGGTCTAGCCGGTCCCATGATAGATCCCTCGGTGGAGCGGGTGCGGACCCTATGTTGTGCTCCGTGCCACCCACTATCCTGGTGGGGCTCCGCAAAGATGGGGAAGAAACACAATACATGAGACCCTGAGATGAATCCCTCAGCAATGGGGAATGTTCTCGATCCGGGCTACTGCTCGGTAATTGAGGGCTTGGAGAGTTTGGGAGAGCATGTGAAACCCAAGCGACCTTGTGTAAAGGCTTTTCTTCAAATGGACGCTTGAAGGCATTGTCATCGGCATGGCTAGAAGCCGGCTCAATCGCCCTAGCAACATTGTGCTGCACCTGCCCAATTTCCTCAACTACACACCTGGAACTAACAGTAAGGGGCTCAGTGTCGGGGTCCAAGCACCCAGACCAGGCATCAGAATCGGGCAGGATATTTTCATTGTAGTAGTTTAAATCTATATAATGAAAGACCAAATGGTCCCGCATGTTCTCACGAAAATTTCCATCCTGAAAGGTAATACAGACGACATCACCGTGCCTAAGCGCGTGGCGGTTCTCTCCCAGGCGGTTTCCATTAACCTGCACATCTACAGCGCGCTGAGAACACTCCATTCCTTTGAATGGAATAAAGTACACGTAGAAAAGCCTCTGGCCGTCATCCGGAGAATCCCGCTCGAAGTTCAAGCAACCAAAGTTAGTCGGCAATGGGTTATGTGAAGCAGAGCATCCTGTGTTTGGACTGGAAATACTCCCAATAGCAGTACGTATTTCATCTTTGTCCTTGGCACTTGCATAACTGTGCGAGGATTCGGAGCTGTAGCTTTCAAAGAGCGTTTTTTCCAATAGTGGCGTAATCCGTGCCTCCATCGCGCGGGCAACTTCCTTCTGGATCATAAATTGCTGTTCAGCTACGTTAGCCATGACAGGTTCGATCACGGCCACGTCATTCGCTGGCTTAGAAAGCGCAATTAGGCTGTCAGACTGAATCAGCTGCGCCAGGTTCAGCTCCAATAAATCATTCTCAAGTGCTACTATCCGCACGAGATCACTTATGTCCGAAATATTGGGGTCTGCATCCTCTGCGGTCTTCAGGCGCTTGCGATGCGACACAAAAATCAGTGGCGCCCGCAGTGGCCCCGAAGGGATAGTGTTGATGATAGCCTCACAAATCTCGTGCTCTCTTCGACATGATAGCTTCAACGGACAGGAGTTCTTCGTCGGGACAGACGTTTGCTTTTTCGTCGGGAATCCACTCAAGGTACGGACGTAGCCGTGACGACTATTTGAAACACCCTTTAGATGTCTTACCCAGTCCTCCATCCTTTCCACCAACCCTTGGGACCCTTCCTCCGCTGAATGCAGGTTCGACATTAATGGATTCAAATACTTATGGATAATACAATTCGCTGTAAATCGGTTGCAAATGCGACGCACCGCGCTTGAATACGTCAACGTCGCACACGACTCCTCGTAGTTGAGCGCGATGGGTGAGATGTTGGCAATCATAAAAGTCTTGCTGTTCCCGCCGAGGCTATCCTTGAGTATCATGGTGAGCAATGAATCTCGGTAGTTGATAAACTTGGCTCCACACGCAACATCATTAATCACACGCGAGAGTGCTGTCAAAGACTGGTTAATATGAATTCCATCGGCGGGCTTCCCTTGTTGCGTACCAGCTGTCCGCTGACGCTCACTCCCCGCCAAATCTACAAGACTGATCTTGGCAGAATGCTCGATTGATTCCTGTGTATGATGATTTGTGCGCCACTGCGCCACACGAATTTGCAAAATCGCATGGCTTCGACTACTGGATGCGTTCATATTCGTCCTACCGACGCGCCGCCGCCGCAATCCCGCTTTGAGGAGTCGGTGCGCCGCTTCCGCCGTGCACACCTCGGCCTGCAGCAATCCATCGATAACAGCCCCTTCACCCGCACCGTCTGCATCACGCGCAAGACGCACACGCAGTGGGCCCTTCCCAGAGAGAAGGCAGAACACTTCATTACGGTAGATCTCCATAAAAGAGAGTAAAACCGTGTACTTGAAGTCCTGCGTCACCGGTCCCTTCGCGTAGGCAGAGCTGAGATCGTCGAGAGTGAGAAAGATGTCCTCCAGCGTGCGCGTCGCTAGGCCGGGATCGTGATGTGCGCTGGTGTGATCCCCAAAGAGCGTGTAGGTCTTCCCGCTGCCAGTTTGCCCGTAGGTAAAGACGCAGGAGTTGATCCCCCCCAGCGCCGCCTTCACGGCGTGCACCGCGGTGGCGTGGTAGACGGCTGCCTGCGTGCCGAACGCAGGGGAGCGAAAAAAATTGGTCGATCGGAGCAGTGGCATCATTAGAATCGACGGCGCATCCATGCTCACTACACACTGATCACACACATAACAGTTGGTGGTGCCAGTGAAAGTCGAGCTGCACAGGCTATTTACCGAACGCGACATAAGCGGACTGCGGGAGTGTAGGGAGTAGTTCGTTTTCTTGCTGCTGTACGACGCGGCGCCACCCTTCAATGAACTTTTACCGTGATCGGTGAGCAAGTTCATTACGTGAGTGGAATCACGTTCCACGGCGTATGCGTCATCGATGTTTTTGGGATCATGCATCACGACAATGTTTTCGACCACAGAAACACAAATTTGTCGAGAATGGCTCAACGGCCTCATGCTTTTCTGCATCTCATACTGTGGGACATCTAAGTTGGAGGGAACATTGCGAACACGTACACAGACAACGATGTGGCCATCGTCTGAAGGCCGGTCTAGGCTTGTTGCGCTGCAACTATTGTGGTTGCAGAGGCCCCCTATGCTCATGTGTAATAGCTTAATACTTGAATATAGAAAAGGAAATGACCTTTACCCTGTTATTACCTATGAAAGAGCCCGAACACAAAATTACAATAGAGGTGCAGATGAGAAAGGGTGACAAATAGTTAGTTGTGGGACTAAATAAAATGTTATTTTGCTTGCTCAGATAAGCTATACAAGCGGAAGGAATGGCTATAGTGCCAAATGAGTGGACATAAAATGTGCAAGCGTGTGTAAAGCAACAATCAAAGTAATAATAATCATTTTCACGAATAGGTGTCTCACTTTTCTGTTGCATTGAAATTGATTGAAGCCTGAAAACAATAACACACTCAAGCTGTATTTCAACTTGTCCTTACATCCAGCGGCAGGCATAGTGTGTAGCAACAAAAATAGACATATATTCTTCTGTTATGGTGTAAAAAATATTTTATCATGTAGTTTAACAAACATGTAGTAACAAAAGGGGGAATATAAAATAGTAGACAGCCTTTTCAAATGAATTCTTGCCATCCGAGGCTATCAAAAAAATCAGAAAGGGATCAAAAAGAAGTAGAAATCAACAGCCCACGCGAAGCAAGTATGAGTGATCCAAAACGAAGTCGTTTAGAACTAACAAAAAACTTACACAGCGGCTTATTGTGACCCTTTCCCTTCCTGACATACCCGTTGAATGACACTATTATTAGTAGTAACATTGCTTACATATGACGTGGTAAAAAGTTACGATTTTATCATAATACAATAGAAACATGGAATTAACATAGTGAGAGGGAAACTAAGTATAGCAAAAGGAGTCTAAAAACTAAAATTGAACAAATACCAACACATGAATTGAAACAGAGATCAGGTAAGCTCTAAGAACACAAACACGTGCCGAAGCAAAGACCACGCTCGTTTGTCTCTTCCAGTGCTTTTCACCTTCTTCGTCATCCATGAGTTTTGTATCCATTCCTCCAGCTATCGCTACTGCTGGGTATGGTAAAAGAAATTGGCCATCACGATTAAATTAACATTAAAGGATGGCAATAAAATTTATTTCAAGAAAATGCACAGAGATTCAAAAAAGGTGGCATTCTTCCTTTTATTTGTTTTTATTATCGTGCTAGTTCTTCTAAAGCATTAACAGACTTCTCGATAAAAACATGAACTAAACGATTTCATAATCAACTGTATCAGTCTAATCATGCTAAGCATTTTCGACGTGTTACTCTTAATCGCACAAAAATACATAGATTGATAATAAAAGATAAGCAAGAAGACCGCAACCATTTTTCGATTACTTTATACAAAAGTACTGTAAAATGCACGGATAAAGAAGACACATAGTGAAATAAGAGCTGTCAATCAGAAACGGAAAATTTTTTTTGGCCCCTCATAGCGCTACCTCTCAAGAAGTTTTATGTAAGGTACATATTATTCGCCTGACTATCTCTCCTCTATTTTATCCTTAAAGCTCACACTCCACTTATCTCGCCGTTGTGATGCTTCCCCTGGCGCAGAATCTGAATTTGAAGGTGACGGTACATAATCAACTCCTGAAATGGGCAGATCACCTCTTGCTGAGTTGAGGCGTAATCTGGACTGAAACGATAAAATGCTCCGTAGCGGGGGGTGGGCGGGGGAATCCGCTTCATTAGGTTCAGAAGTACTGGTAGATGCTTTATTTAAAGGAGTATCGGGTAATTTTTTTTTCTCATGATCCCCAGAGTGAATCCAAGAAAACAAACGGGAAGCTAACGATTTAAGTGGATCTGACGACGAATGTTGTTTCTGTACCTGCGACAGTGAACAACGCGACGACTTTCTAGAATCGTGCGAACTTTGTGAGGGTGCCCTCATTTCAGGCTGCTGCTGTTGCGGAGATTGCTTGTTTGGAGCTGGCGAGCTTTGTAAGGGTATTTTCATTCCCGGTTGCTGCTGTGGGGATTGCTTCCTTGGATCCTGTGAGCTTCGTGAGGGTGGCCTCATTTCAGGCTGCTGCTGTTGCGGGGATTGCTTCCTTGAATCCTGCGAGCTTTGTGAGGGTATTTTCATTCCCGGTTGCTGCTGTGGGGATTGCTTCCTTGGATCCTGCGAGCTTTGTGAGGGTATTTTCATTCCCGGTTGCTGCTGTGGGGATTGCTTCCTTGGATCCTGTGAGCTTCGTGAGGGTGGCCTCATTTCAGGCTGCTGCTGCTGTGGGGATTGCTTCCTTGGATCCTGTGAGCTTCGTGAGGGTGGCCTCATTTCAGATTGCTGCTGTTCCTGCGACGACGGCGGTGATGCATCTTTTTCCTGCTTCAGATCAGTGCAATGTGTTTTTTTTTGTGCTAAACTGGCAAATTCAGAGGGTTCTGCACTATTGTCGGGGGAATTTTCGTGATAACAATGAGTTTCCGATGACGAATAGTTATGACTATCTAATAATCCTCTTTCCTTAGAATAGCTATCTGGACTACTGTTGCTTAAAGCTTGATCGATTGGATCACAGCTTTTCTGGTTTTGTTGGCAATTCGAAAGTTCTACGGAAGCATCAAGGTTAGGGGCGTTTAATTTGTTACCACTGTTCCTATGCTTAAGACTGTTGAGGAGAGATGAGGTGTCAATGTTATCGCTATATTTTTGTGTACCACCTGTTGCAGCTTCATGTCCAAATGAGGGCAATGGTAAGGATGTGAAACCCCACGACGGCAATGTTGTTAAGAAGGGTTGTTCGCTATTCTGATTGGATTGAAGGTCGTATTTTAGATGATGTGGCTGTGCAGATTGAACATCTAATAAAGGAGTTTGAAGTGATAATGCTGTGTTTTCTACATGACTTTGCCCTTCAAAACGCTTACTTTGGATGTCCCCAAAACTCGTCATACTTGAATTTATACGTTGAAGGTTTTGCCGTATTATGTCTATTTTAGTAGTCATGCTGGCAGTCTCCATAGCCAATTTGATTAACCTTTCCGAGGACGAATAATCTAAGGGTGGCAAGTAATACGTTTTGAAGGGCGTGAGGCGTGGTGAATCAAAAGAAATCCTTGACGTTGGGAAGGCCGAAGATATCTTGGTTGGTGTCCGCATTGTAAACAATGATCTAGATACTGTGAGCGGCCTTAAAACCTCATTAGGTTCGACTAACTTCACTACGGATTCCTTCACCTCGACTTCATTCGAAGTAGCAGGTTTATTTTCCATTTCCACCTGCTTCTTCTGCCGTAAGTACTCGGCCGCGGCTTTGGGACTCATCATTTTTAGTGCGCGCTCCTCTTCCTCGCGGGCTATCTCAGCCTTTTCGCGTTGGATGACCTCTTCAATTTCCCGTTTTAATCGCTCCTCATCAGCAAGGGCTGCGGCTTTTTCACGAGCACGCTCCTCCTGTTTCTGTCGCTCCCGCTGAGCCATCAGTCGCTCGTTTTCACGCTGAAAATCTTGACTGCGACGGCGAGCATTAGCTTTGCTAATGAGTTCTACATCTGCGTCGCTACTTTGCTGCGCCTTTGACCCCCCTGGAGTCCTGCGTGATGAACTAGAGGCTGGTGCTACTGGCCGACTGAAAGTGGAAACGTTTTGGTATTGAGCTGGCGCTGAAGGAAATAAAGGAGTTAATGAAGATGGAGGCTCACTCCAGGGAAACGGATTCACAGGAACAGGTGAAAATTTAGGGTTTAGGAGTTGCTCAGGGCTCGACTTTATATTTGGGTGGAATACCAAAGGCTGTATGGGGGAACAAAACTGCGGTGCCGGAACGGAAACATTACTACGTGGGGTTAAACTTGGAGACAACGGTTGCGAAGAATAAACCAAAGGTTTCTGAACATTGGCTAGCCATGGTAGAAAACCGCTCGCGATGCTGTTGTGATCCTTCGCATCACTTGGCGCGATATTATTGCCTGATGAACTCCGAGGCGTGCGCTGGAGGAGGGCCGAACCTATTTTGCTTCTACTTCTACCTCGCTCCAGCAAGTCATGCTGCTGCCCCTGGGCTCTCCCGTGAAGGGCCCTACTAGATCCAGCGCCTAGATCGTAACAGTACTCCTCATGACCAATTTTTCCAGCGACTCGTTTTTTTTTACGTTTATCTGCAAGCATAGTTATGCATATAAATAATTATCACTTTTTTTGTCCTTTTTTAAGTGCCAAAATCACTAGTGATATATTAATCGTAAAAAAATAACGCTTCAAACCAATTTCGATTTTAGTGAATTCACTGTTTCGCCCTTACTCCTGATATGAAAACCTAGAATAAAATGACCGCAATAATAATATTTGAAGGTGATATGTCTATTTAGACAACTAGACTGCTTCAAATAAGCCGGCAATAGGCAAACAATGAGTTTAGAAAGTATACAGAAACCTAAGAGATAATATTTACCCTCAAGTTGTTAAGCTCCTTACAAAGGGCTTCTGGTGCTTTGATATCTAGTCGGAGACCGATACTCTAAAAAATAAATAAAACTACTTTTAGGCAAAAAGACTTAGAATGAGACACATAGTATCTTGGAAATAATAATACTAGCAATAATAATAACAGCGCAAGTTTACTGTACTTCTTTGCAGGGAAGAGGAGTACTCACATTAAAATACAGAAGCATAACTTTGTCATTTATATTGGCCCGCTGCCCAATTGATATTTGACTCTCCAAAGAGGAACTCCATCAGAATTCCAACAAAAGGGACTTCTATGTAGTATATCACATCTCTACTTTTCCCTCCTATAGACATGCATACCGCTCATAGTAAAATTTTTAAATTTAATATACATATTGAGGATAAAATAAAGAAAACGAAAGAAGAGACACGAAACCCCAATACTCACCAAGGCCTATTCTATGCATATATGTATATATGATTTTCAATTGTGTCTTTTCACAGCGACGGTACGACTAGCATGTGCTCTAGCTGGTTCTTTTTGCGTACGTACTCCCTCTTTAGTGCTACCATCGCGTCGTTGTGTTTCTTCTCTTCAATAAGCAGCTCCTCCTCGGATGATTTAGCAAATGCCTCACACCCCTCTTTGAGCTCCTGCTCCTTCCGCTCAAGTTCTTTGATGCGATTTTGGAGTCTAGTCTTGTCTTGTTGCGTCAGACTGGCGCTTTTCTCACCCCTAAGTGCGAGTCGAAATGCGTGCCCAACGCGACTTTCAAACATCTCGCGATACGCCGCCTGCGAACCAACGCGTTCGGCATACACGTGCAGAAGAAGAAGTCCACGCTCCCACGACTCCGTTACGACTTGCCGTATGACTTCCAAAAAGCACTCCGCTGTCAGTGCGGTGCGCGCCGGGCTCGTTCCTGTACGCCGCACATTCAACGCTTTTAGCTTCGCATGAAAAGCCTCGTGCACGTTCATCGTTTCGATGCGGTTGCTAGGGTATGGACTGGCGTGTTGAACCCAGATCGTCCCAGTCACTGCATCCCGCCACCTCCGCGGTGTGATAAAGCTGTCTAATATCACCCGCACATTCGGATCCACAGGGTGGCTCTCCGTCGGCGAAAGCCCAAGCCTTTTGCGCAACTTCAATGACTGCGGCGGGCTCTCCGGGGCGTACGGGGTGTCGAACACGATAAGTGAATCCTCCGGATCGATAGGCCCGTCAACGTCGATGAAAAGAGGCGCCCGCCGGGTGTGATCGGCGCCGTCCTCGAGATTGCCGCGCTCTTGGAGCACCGGCAGCAGTTGCTGCAGCAGCACGGAGTTCGTTCGAGAGCCGTCAAGAAGCGCTCCCAGGCCGATCGCGAGGGACGGCCTCCGCGTGGCGGTACTATGACCGATGGTGCTAATGCTATGGGAAGAACTTTCATTTCCCTTGGGATCGAGGGATTGACTCATGTATAGATTTGACTAACTGCGTACCTTTCTCCCCCCTTAATTGATTTTCGTCGATGCCAAAGGTGAAGAATTTTTAAAATATCAATAAACTTCTATGGAGTCTTATAAAAAAGAAGAAGAAAAGAATGAAATCAGAGGAAAAAATTATTCGGCCCCCCGTGATAGTGTACATTAGATTGCTCTAAATGAGGAAGCCATATATTGAATATCATGCACCACGATATGAAAAGCACAACGTGAGAGAAAAATATGCGGTCCCTTTGCTAATTCTGCGCTTGGTGTGCTCTTTCCTTCTCAAAGGAAGGCAACCAAAAGAATAAGAAATTGTAGCAACGGAAAGGGGCGAAATTTTCATTCCTGAATAACGCTTTCGGCGTTTTATCGCCCTACCTTCTCCTGTCGGGAGATAAATTTCAAAAAGTATCAGTATACCACCAAGTCCTTCATGCAGCGTGGCGCCGTTGCAGGTCTCTGAGCGGTGGCCAAATACTCGTAGTCGTCCAACATCGCGCATATCCCCTCGGCGGTGGCGTGGAAGTAGTCGAGCGCGAGGTAACGCTCGTAGTGGTGCACATGCGAGCGCGCGGTGTAGAGCCGCATGAATTTATCGTACACCTCCCGCACCTTCCCCGCGATCGCGCAGCTGTTCGTGAGCGCCAGCATGGAATCCTTATGTCCGAGTGGACTCACCCCACAGAGCGCCGTCTTGAAGCCGTCTTCATTCCAGTACGGCATCGAAAGCCGCGCGCGCAGCCGGCCGACGTTGCGGTTGAGATCCCCCACGGTGATCTGCGGTCCGCGCGCGATCAGGGCCGTGGCGAGGGCGGTGCTGCGGTGAATATCC